AATCCGCAAGTGGCGTGTGTGATGTTAGGTGCGAGCTGATCTGAACCATGGAAGTCCACTTCCCAGCATCCCTTGTCTTGAGATGATAGCATTTCGTGGTGTTAGTCGGGCTTAGGCCTCACTTTCCTGCAAAGAAAGATGCAGTAAATGTGGGGTCACACCAGTCGTGTTATTTAAATTCCCGTAGGCTCATGTTACAGGTACCAAGAGCGGAAGTAAATGTATTCACTGAGTGGGTCTGTAGCCGACTCAAGTAACAGCAGGTTGGATAAAATAATGGGGTTGCCAAATAGTCCTGAAAGGGCTTCGATTTAAAAAACAAGCCAACGGGAGTGGGTATTGTGGCACAGCGGGTTAAGCTGGAGCTCTAGATACCCACATTCCATGTCAGAGTGCCAGTTCACCTCCGGCCTCTCTAGTTTCTGATCCAGTCCCATGCTGGGAAGCAAGGGGAGATGCTAACCCTGGAGGTGACCTAGCTGCAGTCCTGCTTCCTGGCTTTACAACAGCGCTGACTGCTGCAGCCATTTGGAGAGTAAACCAGCAAGCGGAAGAACTCTTTGTCTTTCTGCGTTTCCCACGTTTTTTGCTGAAGTATGAACCACATATGCAAAGCTGTGCATGTTTAATATATACAAGCTGATGAGTTTACAGTAAGTGACTGCCACACCAACCATCAATGCCGTCATGTCTGAACATTTGTCACTTCCCAAATTTACTCCAGCCTTCTTTTTCTCATCGCTTGATTTGTTTGGGTGCCTGCAGTGGGAGTGATATGGAGAGCTGTCAGGTTCTCATGGTTTGATCAGGACATCAAGGACTGTTGGAGGGGGTGGGGCAGATAGGACGTGCTTGTTCGTCCGTCCTTCCTTCCTTCCTTTCTCCTTTTCTTCTTTTCTTCTTTCTTTGTCATTTAAATCATCAAAACTGATGAAAGTGGTAATGGGGGGGGGGTATCGCTGCACATCTGGAGAGTGATCTGGGAAGCCCAGAGGCAGCTGTGCGGCCCTGTACTAAATTATTACCTGCTGAGCGCCACGTGAGGTCTGGCTATGGTGGCACCTTGTGGGCTGTGAAATATTGGCCTTCTGTGGCCTGCGTGGAGTAGAACAACTGCTTTCTTCCTCAGAAACAACGCATATATTTTTTTCAGGTTCCCACATTTTTTGGGAGGGAGTTTCGAGTGGTTGGGAATAAGGTAGAAAATTAAACTTTGCACTCAAAGGAAAAAATTCAGTCAGTGGCTTGGAGAGTCAGAACTGAAGAACTGGCTTTGAATGGATTCATAGGATGTATAGAAAAGGAGGAGAGAGGAAAAAAATAGCTTGAGTTTTGCTATAATTTATTTTGTTTTCTTGATTTGTTTGGGAAACATTCAATGGTGAGAGGGTTTACAGTTTGCCCGTGTGACTAACGGCTGCTCATGAGGGAAGCTGAACTGGAGAACTATTGTGGCGTGGATGGTGTGTGTGTGTGTGAGAGAGAGACAGAGAGAGAGAGAGAGAGAACAGAGAGGGTGCCCTTGGTCATTAGGACACATGGGATTGTCTGTGGTTGGAGGTGGCAGGTGGGTTTAATTTACTTACCCTGTGACCAAAGGCGGAAGTTGCCAGTTGAGGATGGCCCACAGCTCAGGGAGGAGACAGCCCTGGCTCTTCTAGAGCTCTAGGGCTGTGAGGAGGTACCTCATCAAAATGGGCTCAGGTAAAGTGTTGCAAGTCTTGCCCTTCCTTGCCCATAGGGCTTTTCCCTCCCCCAGAGTAATAGGGCCCGGGCTAGGAGGAGGCACGGTGGGGAGGTGAACCTTGGTGCTGAAGGCTTTGCCTTATGGAAGGGCAAACACAAACACTCTGGGGTTAATAGAAGGTGGTGCCCTGATTCTCAAGGCAGCCCAGGCCTCTTGATGCTTGGAGCTGCCCTGGAGCCTCCCTGGGTGGCAGGGGCAGCTGTGGAGATGAGCCCTTTGGAGGCAGGCCCTTGGCTGTCATGGTCATGGCTGGCGGTCAGCACAGTGACCCCTATGGGGGCTGCTCTGCTGTCCGCTCAGGTTGCCTCAGGTGATTGTCACAGGGGTGTGTGTGTGTGTGTGTGTGTGTGTGTGTGTGTGCGTGCGTGCGCGCGCGCGCACGCCCAAGCTTGGGGAGTAGGAGTGGTGTGGGGAGCCGCCCTGTGGTGTGCCTCCTTTTGCTGTCCATGGAGACTGCCTGTTGCCCTGTGGTTCCTCACTGATTTCTCACTATGCAGGCTTCAGCTTCCTGTCTTCTTTTTGTGTGCTTTTTTTTTTTTTTAAAAAAAAGATTCATTTTATTTTTATTGGAAAGGCAGATTTACAGAGAAGGAAGCACAGAGGGAGGTCTTCCATCTGCTGGTTCATTCCCCAAATGAGTGCAATGGTCAGAGATGAACCAAACTGCAGCCAGATCTCATGTGGGTGCCAGGTCCAGTGGACTTGGTCCATCTTCCACTGCTTTCCCAGGCCACAAGCAGGGAGCTGAATGGGAAGTAGAGCAGCCAGGATACAATGGGGCCCCTGTGGGATCCAGGCACTGCAGGCAGAGGAGTAACCAGTTGAGTCAAAGCTCTGGCCTTTAGCTTCCTTTCTAAACCCAGCTAGGATGGTGGTCAACAAGGAAAGGGGAGGTTTGGGGGCTGATTTTGTTGGGTGGCTGATGTGGTTGCTTAAAGTTCCCCTCTCTGTAGCTAGGTCATTTTCACAGCTACAACAAAGGCAGAAGAAGCAAGGCAGGAGAAGGCACGATGAGGTTGTGGCCCTTGGGGCAGGTGCTGTTGGGTTGGATTGCGCTGAGTGTCAGGATTCGTTACAATGTGATCGAGAATCATCAGACAGGTTTCTGGCCTAGGTCTTTGCTGGCAATCTGGCAGCAGCATCTGGAATAGGCGGGGCAGTCCTTCCAGCTGCTGCGTCAGTCTGGGCTGTGGCATCAGCCGTATCTGGGTCATGGAGGCATGCCCTTGTCCAAACACGTTCCAGTGTTCAATGTTCTCACTGACCTGGTCCCTGGCTTAGAATCCAGGAGCTTCGGAGGTGACTGCTTCAACCCCAGAACGTGTTGCTGCTGGGAAAGGAAGGATCTTTTCTAAAGAAATGGTTTCTTTCCGTTTCTGTTTCTCTTCCTTCTGAATTCTGTCTTATCAGCGAATGCGAAGTAGGGTAGAGGGGATGGCCTGCTCGAGGGCAGGCCTGGGCCAGGGTTTAAGCTGAAAGTCTCTGGGAGAAACTTGCCCACAAACCCTGCTTACATCTTGATCTACTCTGCAATACTAGCCATGTGTCTCTGGGGGATACTAACCGAGTAACCCAGGGGGCTGTTGAGCAGTCTGGGGTGAGCGTTAAGGGGTGCCAAAGTTGTGTTTTCCTGGGTTGTCTTGCTCAAGTCAACTTTCTAGATTGTCTTAGAAAAATCATACCAGAGACAGGAATAGAGAGGAGGTGGGGGGCGGCTGGGGTCCCAGGGAAGTAAAACAGCTAAAGAAGGAAGCACCCTTTCCTGAATGAAGAAGTACATAGCTTACTGCTGCGTGTTTGTCAGGTTTGTTGTTCCCTCCACATGTGAAGTTCCCCTTGTTTTTGCATCAGATATATTTCCCATGAACTTTCTGAGGATCCCTGTATACATGGATTTCACCTTCCCTCACGGTAATCTTTTTTTTAAGATTTATTTATTGTAATCGGAAAGGTAGATATACAGAGAGGAGCAGAGACAGAAAGAAAGATCTTCCATCTGTTGATTCACTCCACAAGTGGCTGCATTGGCTGGAGTTGAGCTGAGCTGACCTGAGGCCAGGAGCTAGGAGCCTCTTCTGGGTCTCCCGTGCAGGTGCAGGGTCCCAAGGCTTTGGTCTATCCTCCACTGCTTTCTCAGGCCACAAGCAGGGAGCTGGATGGGAAGTGGAGCTGCTGGGATTGGAACCGGTGCTCCTAGGCAATCCCTGCACATGCAAAGCGAGGGCTTTAGCCACTAGGCTACCACGCCGGGCCCTGTAGTAACCTTTTAATTCCATTCCCTCAGCTTTTCAATTTGGTAATCTGCTTCCAAAAGGAAGACTAGTACAGGAGGCAACAGGATCTTACAGCGACTGCTCAGAGTTCTGATCGCCTCTGTGAGCCTGGCAGACTGGATGGGCAGGCTGACATGCCAGTGTTTCACCCTGCCATGGCCTCTCTCATTATTCCAGTGCCACCTAGAGATTAAGAAATGTGCCTAAGGCCGCCTCACTAGGAGCAGCTACTTACTTGGGTGTTTGCCTCCTGGAAGAGACAAGTGTGATGTTTACTTATTTATTTGGGTGAATTTGCAGTGTGTACTCTTGCACCTGTACTTGGAATAACTAATGAATAGTAAGTCTAACAAATACTGTGAATATTAATGACTGTAATAGTGAGTGATGAATAGTAATGAGCACTCGTGACTGATGAGTAAGATTTTCCCACTTCGCGAGGGGCTTGTCAAGGCCTATGAATTGTGTCTCAGCTGCAGCTTTCCTTGCTGCTTGCCTAGGTTCTCCGGCTCCATCCAGTCTCTGGGAGTGGAGTGAGTCTCAGCACATTTCTTTCCTAAACTTCCCAGCAGCCACAGGCCAAGGTTCAGCATCAGGGAGCCTGTCACTCACTTTGGATGAGGAGTGCTGAAGACACTTCCTCTCCCAGCACTGCCAGGCAGGCAGAGCTGTAGGTTGAAGACCTTAGCTTCGGCACCAGACTTTCCTGATTTACAGGCCTGACTGCCTTAGCTGTTGGCTCTGGAATGGGATCTAGAAGTGTCAGCCATCACTCAGCGTTTCTGAGCTACTGCCCTTCCCTGGCTGCAGTGAGGGAGAGAGTAGGTCCCATCCCAGACAGCGGTTGTGTGGATCCCGGGCTGTCACAGGTGAAACTTGTCATGGCCTTGGCCGTGAATGCTCCAGGTGTTGCGTGGATGTTGGCCTTGCAGGTGGGCTCACCTGACTGTGTCCTTCTCCTGCTTTTCTCTCTCCCCCAGGATGGTTCTCTGGGCAACATCGACGACCTGGCGCAGCAGTATGCGGATTATTATAACACCTGCTTCTCTGACGTGTGCGAGAGGATGGAGGAGCTGCGCAAACGGCGGGTTTCCCAGGATCTGGATGTGGTGAGTGGGTCGTGTTGGGAACACACAGCCCTGGGCTTTCTGCCAGGCCTCAGTGAACCTGCAGCTTTTGTGTGCTCATTGTGAACAGAACTCGGGCCCCTCAAGGACCACCCCAAGTTGTCTGTAGGTATCTTAGCAATGAATGTTGACTGGGACACCACAATTAAATCTTTGCACTCCCCTAAAAACTAGATTTTTTTTTTAATTGGAAAGGTGGATATACAAAGAGGAAGATCTTCCGTCCACTGATTCATTTCCCAAGTGAATGCAACGGCTGATACTATGCCAATCCGAAGCCAGGAGCCTCTTCCGGGTCTCCCACATGGGTGCAGGTTCCCAAAGCTTTGGGCCGTCCTCGACTGCTTTCCCGGGCCACAGGCAGGAGCTGGATGGAAAGTGGGGCTGCTGGGATTAGAACCAGTGCCCAAATGGATCCTGGGCGTGCAAGGTGAGGACCTTAACCACTTGCGCCACCGTGCCGGACCCTAAAAACTAGATTTTTATAAACTGCAAACCAGTGCGTACTCCATGTTCACTGATGGTAAGCTCCAAAGCATGTTTAGTTGGTTCCTTTCACCGAGCCAACCCTTCCTTTTCTCGTCAGTCCTCTTAACCCCCAGCCAAAAAAAAAGAAAACAGAAACAAAAAGCAAAACTACCCAAAAGCAAAAGCAACAAGAAAACACCCATAATCTTTCACATAGCAATAACCACCTTGCTTTTTTTTGATATTTATTTTTACTGGAAAGGCAGATTTATAGAGAGCAGGAGACAAAGAAAGATCTACAGTCCACTGGTTCACTCCCTAAATGGCCATGGTGGCCGGAGTTAAGAGGTTCCAGGACTTGGCCATCCTCTGCTGCTTTCCTGGGCCACAAGCAGGGAGCTGCATGGTAACTGGAGCAGCCAGAACAGGAACCGGCAGCTGTATAGGATCCCAATGCATGCAGTGCGAGGATTCAGCCACTGACCCATTGAGCTGGACCCTCCTCTCTGTGCTTTCTGGACGTCGTAAGTCAACAATGTGCTCACTACTTTTTTTATTTAGCATTTTACGATGCTTCCTCTGTGACATTGAGATCTCCTTGGGGTCACTCTTCCTTGGCTTCATTCTCTCACTCCCGGGCGCCCAGATTCCTTTGGCTGTAAACCTTTATGTGCAAAAGGGCGGAGCGCTTGAAGGTGGATGTGGCGAACAGTGCATAGGTGCTTCCTGTGTGACCCATGCAAGTGCTGGGAGTTCCATGTTGTGCATTTTCCTCTCTACTTGCTTACAGAAGCTGCTGCAGCCATCATCGTCTGGAATCCATTGAGCGCCCTGCTTTTCACATTGCTCTGTCTCCCTGTGTTGACCCCAGGAGCTCCATAAGCGAAGAGAATGTGGGAGGGAAGGTCCCCTTCCCCCCTCCACCATGTGTCCTCACCCAGACCAGCTCCTTTTGTACTGTGCATGTTCAGGTTTTGAATACCTTCTGCCTTTTTAGACTTATTTGAAATCACTGCTTCAATGAAATCCTCATTTATCTGCTTAAAAAAGTTTCTATAATTCAGCTTAGGGTGGAAAAAATAACAACCTTTCACCACTAACAGTTAGTTAACCAGTTTAGAACTAGTTAATAATAGAGTGATTAATAAGTCTTTTAAAAATATTTATTTTAAAAGGCAGAGTTAGAGAGAGAGAGAGAGAGAGATCTTCCATCTGCTAGCTCACTCCACAAATGGCTACAATGGCCTAGGCTGGGCCAGGCAGAAGCCAGGTGCGAGGAATTTCTGGTTGTCTCCCATGTAAGACCATCTTCTACCCATGTAGGGCTATCTTCTGTTGATTTACTCACGTGCATTAGCAGGGAGCTGGATTGAAAGTAGAGCAGCAGGACTCCAACCAGGCATCCATGAGGGATGCCAGCTTTGTAGGCTGCAGCTGAATTTGTTAGGCCCCAACCCCTGTATTTCTAAAGCTTTATTTATTTATCTTAAAGTCAGGGTTACTTACACATGCAACACAGAAGGAGAGAGACAAAGGGCAGTAGTGCATGCGCGCACGAGCAGGACAGATCTTCCAGCCTCTGGTTCACTTCCCACATGGCGGGAGCCTGGAATTCTATCCAGGTTTCCCACATGGCAAGCATTGACCCAAGCACTTGAGAATCTTCTACTGCCTTCCCAGGCACATTGGTCAGGAGCTATATAGGAGGTGAAGCAGCTTTGACTCATGGGCCCTCAAACGCTGTGCCAGCACTTGAAAGTGTCAGCTTACCCCGATGTTCCACAGCACCCACACTATTGAGAATTCATTTTATATTATACCACAATAATTTTATGTTATTATATAAGAATATTATATTCTGTCATTTTATAGAATTTGATTTCTTTCTTGAACTCAATGTTCTGGGTCTGGAGTGACTATGTAGGACAATTGTCAGATTGTTCATTTTTGTTCAAGGTAGTGGTCCATAGGCATGTCAGCTAGTTTAATATGGAAGTATCTGTTGGGGCAGGAAGCCATTGTCCCTAGAGCGAGACACGTTGGACAACAGATAGGTTATGTTTTCTGTGACTGCCCCCTGGCATATGTGCATAGCGGGGTTATTTCCTTCTTTTTCTTTTAAAGGTTTGTTTCTTTTTATTGGAAAGGCAGATTTACAGAGAAAAGGAGAGACATAAAGATTTTCCATCTGCTAGCTCACTGTCCAAGTCACCACAATGGCTGGAGCTGAACTGATCTGAAGCCAGGAGGTTTTTCTGGGTCTCCCCACAGTCCCAAGACTTTAGCCATCCTCCAAGGCTTTTCCAGGCCCCAAGTAAGCTGCTGGGTGGGGAATGGAGCAGCTGAAACATGAACTGGTACCCATATAGGATCCTGATGTGTGCAAGGTCAGAATCTAGGCGTTGTGCTGGGTCCTATTTTCTTTCTTTCTTTTTTTTTTTTTAAACAAAGTAATGTTTCAAAAGACTCACATACTCTGATAAAATTATGAGATTAGGTTCTTATATTGAGGCACATTGAAAATATTTTGCGGGGAGGGTGTTTAGTGCAGTGGGTAAGATGCTGCTTGGAAAGCTGGCATCCCATGTTGTGATGCTGGCTTGGAGTCCTGGGTCTGCTCCTGATTCTGTCTGCCTGCCGCCATGTGTGCAGACCTGCAGTCCTGGGCCTGCTCCTGATTTTCTCTGCCTGCCGCCGTGCGTGCCAGCCTGGAGCCCTGGGCCTGCTCCTGATTCTTCTGCCTGCCTGCCTGCCGCTGTGCGTGCAGACCTGCAGTCCTGGGCCTGCTCCTGATTCTGCCTGCCTGCCCCAGTGCGTCATGGAGGGCAGCAGGTGATGGCTCAGACAGTTGAGCTCCTGCCGCTCACATGGGACATGCAGATTGAGTTCTTAGCTCTTGGCTTTGGTCTGACGCACCTCAGGTTGATGCAGGCAGTTGGGGGCAGTTGATGAGAGATTTCCGCCTGCATTTTCAAACAAATGATAAAGTAGGAAAAGCAGAATGCTTTTTTTTTTAAAGATTTATTTTTATTATTTTTTTCATTGGAAAGGCGGATATACAGAGAGGAGAGACAGAGAGGAAGATCTTCCGTCCGATGATTCACTCCCCAAGTGAGCGCAATGGGCCGATACTATGCCGATCCGAAGCCAGGAGCCTCTTCTGGGTCTCCCACGTGGGTGCAGGTTCCCAAAGCTTTGGGCCGTCCTCGACTGCTTTCCCAGGCCACAGGCAGGGAGCTAGAAGGGAAGCGGGGCTGCCGGGATTAGAACCGGCGCCCATATGGGATCCCGGGCGTGCAAGGCGAGGACCTTTAACCACTTGCGCCACCGTGCCGGGCCCCCAGAATGCTTTTATATTGACGATATTGCCAGAATAACTGACGTTTTGAATATTCCAAGTCTGCGAGTATGTAATATGTGACCTTTTTGGTCATTTCACCATGCAAGGAAATGTGAATTAGTGGCTGAATGTTGATTCAGCACTGACTTATTTTTTTGACGATTACATCTGATTGAAGGTTGGGGTGACATGGAAGCGAGTCTGCCTGTCAGGGGCATACATACCTTCTTTGTCTGCCAGCAGATGGGCCTGTTTGGTGTGCTCAGTTCCAGATAGTCAGGAGGAAACATGCGCCACGTGAGCTTAATTAGTTCTCATCAGAGGTGCATGATGTCCTTGTGGCTAACACTGATCGGAGCTAATTCCAGCAGACTGCAGCTCGACTATTCAGTTTTTAATTGTGGCAGCAAAGAAAGTAAGATCTCAAGCTGATGTATTCTATGCAATCCCAGGTAAGTTGCAGAAAGATAAAGAGAAATAATGTTGAAATTGTGAACCAGGCTGAGGATAGGAGCCTGGCTTTTAATCCAGGTTCCCCTTAGGAATGTCAGGGAACCTAAGCACTGGATTGCCTTTCAGCATCCGTGTAAGTAGGAAGTGGAGCCAGTGATTGAACCCTGGCACTCTCACGTGGTATGTGGATGTTCCAACCAATGTCTTAAATGCACACCCTCTTATACTATATTAGATGTGTGGACCATGCATGCAGCACTGAGTACTGGAAGTTCCCTCTCTTAAATGCATCTGACTTTTACATGGTGGAGACTGAATTCTGCAGCTTGGACAAGTAGGTAAACTACTTGCCTGCTGGGTTGGCGGAGCAGCTTAGGGTCCAAGACCTTGTTAAGTGGCTATTTCCCATGTTCATCAGCAGCTCTGTCAAGGTGAGAGTGAGGTGGCTTCAGACAGGAATAGCCCACCCAGATCAGCAGAGGAACTGTGACACGTTAGGGGCCTAGTGTGTTTGATAGGAGGAAAAGCAGTGTTTATTGTGCCTGCTATAGAACAGGTCATTTACAGACAGCTTTGAGTAAGGCGACTTTGGGGTGATGTGCTGAGTTGTTTCATTTCGTTTTGCTTATTTATTTTTTAAAGATTTGTTTTTATTGGAAAGGCAGATTTACAGAGAGGAGGAAAGACAGAAAGATCTTCTGTCTGCTGCTCTACTTCCTAA